TGAACTTGAGAGATGTGTTGCCCAGGCCAATGTCCAGACCTGTAGCAGCACCACATGGTCCAATCCTGGTAATGTAGAACATCTTGGTCATGCCAGGAGGCTTGGACTCGGACATGTCCAAGTTGCGCCCATGATTCGGCCGTAGGGATGGGACAAAGAAGAGGACGGCGCCGGAGAGGACGAACTGCACCACCATGTGCATGCATGTAGTGAAGAGGGGGAAAGCAAAGTTAAGGCGATCCTTGTCGAACATCCATTTGTTGTACTAATGGTTGCAATGTCAGTATATCTGGCTCAACGATGGCGAGTACAGCATCGGGGGACGTACCAAGGAGATGGATAACGAAAAGAGATACCAAAGCAGGATCAATACGCCATTGACGACCAATCTCTTGACGACGTCCTTGTCAGCCTCCTTGCGCTCCTCGGCAGAGAGGTTGTTCTTCTCTCTGGCAATGCGCTGGTCCAGCTGGGTGTGCCTCCGGCGTTTCTTTTGCTTTCTGTGTTTCCCCTTCGTCGTCAAGCCCGTCTCTTCATCATCTTGCAGATCCTCGTCGGTGTAGCTCTCATCTCCCGTGTCGTCGTGGCGGTTCGCGAAGCCATCGGCGCCGGCGCTTTCCTCGGAAATCTTGGAATCGTCCAGGGCACTTCTGCCAGTGGCATTGGGAGTGCGCGATCGGCTGGAGGGGCCGGGTTGGCTACCGACGGGGTTCATGAGGCTGCTCCGGCGGCGGCGATGGCCGGCGATGGGCTCCATTTCGATGTCGTCGTCGGTTTCGTCGTCGGTCAGGGACCGCGCAGCAGAGGACGACGGGCCGGCTGCCGCTTGGCCAGTTCGAGATGTTATGTCTGCTGCTCGCGGTGGCGGTAGTGGTGGTGGTGGTGCTACTGCTGCTGATGATGGCGAGGACGATGAAGCTGGCGGAGTTCTTGAAGCGACGGTGGACTGGCTAGGGGTGGTTGTAGTAGCTGTAGTAGACGTTGTCGAAGGGGGCGGTATGGGTTGTGGACGGCCAGGGAGGTCGGAGAGGCCAGGGAGCAGCAGGGGGAGGGCGTCGCGGTTGGAACTGGCAGGAGAGGCGACGGGGAAGTTGGAGGAGGAGGAGGAGGGGCGGATGGGAGGAGCGGACGGAGGAGGCGGAGAGGATGTAGAAGACGTAGAGGACGTAGAGGACGATGATGGTGTGTCGATGGGCTGGCGACGAGAAGGGGGCATGATGGGGAATTTGAGGATGGAGCCGTCCTTCGTATTGTCCCGTGGTAGTGGAGTGGAGGATAATGATGGATGGAGGCCCGGATCTTCTGGCGCGCGGGGGATCCTCTTAGGGGGCTCTTAGGGGGGCTTTGGGGGGCTTCCGAGGCGCTGGAGGCGGTTCCCAGGCCCATCGAATAGGTGCAGTTTGGATCGGTGGCAGCGGAGTGGGCTCTGGCTCGTGCCTTGGGTGGACGGGGCTTGTCTTGGTCGCGTGGAGCTAGTACCTGAGACAGACAGGGAAGAAAGCCGTCGGCGTGTGAACACCTGAACAAGAACTCTGGCTGTGTGTGGCTTGAGACTTTGATGAGCGTTCGTCGACGGGCTCGAGTCCTGTTTTCTCTCTCATGTGCTGATGCTGACGGGACGCTCGAGGATGGATGATGACGCTGACTTCTAGATATATGTTGGTCGACGTGTTGTGTCCGTGCCAGATACCGGAGCTGAGTAGTAAATAAACTAGGTGTGGCCCGGGCCTTGGCGCTGTGGAGGCCATCCATCCCGGCCACAACCTACTCTGCTCGTCTCTCTCCAGTGCTCCTTTGCTGTCTGTAATCATCAGGAAGTTTCCGATCAAAACGCCCTGTAGCGTCGCATTTGTTGTCTCTGCGGTCAAGACGAAGTTGGGGAGCTAATGCCGCCTCCTCGCTGCTAGCATTTGAGATCACACGCACAGCTGGTCATCTCCAACGTCCATGCATCCACGCTACCATCACATGACGACAAACGCGGCACCCGCTTCTAGATCGGTCAACTTCTAGTGAAACCGAACAACCTGTGGCTATATTTTTGCCCTCTCATCGTGAACTTAAGGTACCGACTTTGGGAAACTCCCTCCGCCTACAGAAATACTCCGACTCTCCTCGTACGCCGGCAAAGCCCACCTCTTCATCCAAGCCGTGTCCAAAACCTCCTCTGCATTTGGCCGCTCCCTAGGCCTCCATGCGAGCATCCAGTGTAACAGCTCAAACAGTGCCACCCTCTCCTCCTCGCTGATAACACCCATACCGCAAGAGCATCTTGGCTCCTGTATCCATTGCTCGAACCGCCTATCCCACGTCCATATGTCACGCTCGTTGCTGAGCGGTCTTCCCGCTTCGTCAAACCATTTGAACCGCTGCTCCCACTTCTGCCATCACTCAGACGGTAGAGAACCTTGCAAGTGAACTTGCTGAGCCGTGATTTCGTCCTGAGGCGTCAGGATGCCGTCGATCAGGGACCTATGGGCAAGCAACTCGAAGATAGTGCAGCCGAGACTCCATATATCCGACGCATATGAAAGAGGTATCGTCGGCTCGAAGTGCGCCTCAGGCGGCCGTATCACAAGGGGTGTATACGATTCAAAGCGGTCCTTATCTAACGGGCGAAATGCGACACCAAAATCGCTAAGTAACAGCTTCGCCTCGTCAAGGATAATTTCATCGCTTGCTACGCCTAGCCACACGGGCGGGATAGCATGCGAAGGAACCCCGGATGCTAAAGAGGTTACTTTTCCGTCGAGGCGGACGACAGGCTCTGGCTCCGGGGCTCCAAATTTAGCATACAACTGCTCTACTGAGAGGTTGTTGAGAGAAGATGGCAACCGGAGAATGAGGTTGCCAAGATGAAGGTCTGAGCGAGGGCGTTATTATTAGAGGATCAGAGAGGCAGAATTGAAGGTAGGGAACACTCACCTCCATGAGCATAACCTTGCGAGTGAACAAGAGAGACAGCCATGGCAAGCTGGGCAGCCAGAGACCAAGCAATGTCGAGCTGGAAAAGTCTCGAGTCTGACGCCTCCTTCGCATCCATCAGGCTGCATCTTGCCGGGACTGTCACAAAACAAGAATGAGTCCCATTAGGGCCATCAAGACTGAAATGATCAATGGCCATAGGGATCATCGACGCTTTGTCTTCAGTGGAGTTACAAGCAGCGACTCCTATCGTGAGCTGAGACAGAATGTCTGCCTCTCGCCTGTCTGCATCTGCGGTTCCGACTTTAATGGCGACATAACTCGATGTTTGTTCATCAAGAGCGAGCTAGGTCGTCGAAAATGCGCCGTGACCAAGCTTATGTACTATACGGTATCGCTTGTGAAGACGATCATCGATTTGAATAGGATGGTAGCCTCCTAGCCTGTAGTCTTCTAGTCTTTCCACGTCTTCAATGTACCCATACTCAAAACTTGACATCAACCTCGTCGAATAGTGCACAAATGCGAAGAGGTGAGACGATCGCTTTGAATATGAGTATCGATAATTCGAAAGCCACAGTCGTCGCGACAACACGCGCCGCAGTAGGGTCTGGGAGAAACAGCCGCTCATCTGTGACTAGCAAGCAGGTTGGAGGAGGATTTTCTACTGCTATGTGCAGAGAATCTTGTAGACACAACCAACACACCCGGAACGGAATAACGAATACGCCAATTGATCACCTTGGCATATCAGACTACTATTGACAAGGAGGTCTAATCTCAGGCGGTATTTGTCCGATATGTCAAGTCTCTGCTTTAGTTCTGTTTGCCCACGGAGACAAACACACGAACCGTCAAGCAGACTAACCGTGTTGGCCAGGATAAATATAAAAAGAAGCTCATCTCGCGACCACGCAGAGCTGTGCCAGATTTTATCACTAAGGCCTTGAAGCTCTAAACCATGATACTCTTGGTTGTTATTGGAGGTTTGGTCGAAATAGTGAATGCCACGAGGCACTGGCTAGTCTTACTTTGTTCCTGTGAGTCATACTAGTCATCGCTACAAGGCACTAAATCAAAGGTTACGGATAGGCTATAATCGCGTTGGTGAATCACTGGAAATGCATCTACTGTAGCAGATTGACAAACCTTGACATTCTACTCGCAAATTGTACTCCGGGACTTACGTACTTGTGGGTAAGGAGGCCACATGAGATATGATCAACATCAGTGACACTGGTGACATCGATCAAATGGTGCTTTATTTTCTACCGAAAGCACGTGGTACAGTACACTGTAAGTCGAGACTGGCCTCGGTACACAACCACGTAGATCAAAAATATAACTGAAGAGGAGCACTCCGAATAATAAGTCCTCGCCATTTGAGCATACTTGAATGAATGTAGGGGGGGAAGCCTGGACTTGTTGAGACTACTGCCACTGTCGAAAAAGTGTCAACTAGGCCTCCTTTGGCAATGCGTTCCGGTTATCCAAACTCAGCAGCGCGGGGGTTCGCCTCGGCCTCTGCATCATTGCATCTTTTTTCACGTTCCGATCTCCACTCCCCACGGGTTCGGACGTTGACACCCAGTTTGAGCTGCCTTAGGTACCTTGTATCGTACTGCTGCGAAACCCGAACTGTATCTCGGAACTTGTCTAGTCCAACAGGCATTTGAATGAATGATGTATATTCGACGATGTTCGACGCGTTGCAGTTTTTTGCGTACGGAAATAGAGCTATCTACAGACAACGAATAACTAGATCAACTCATTAAAGCAATCTAAAGCAACCTAACTTAAGAGTGGCACTCACTATAATTGCCACTTTCGGATATTGATCAAGGGGCTATGTGCGTACATATATATACTTGTAGGACACCAGAACCGAGTAATCACCTCATTGACGAGAGTCGCCAGGTCTATAGAGAATGAAGAAACTAAAATAAAAAAAGAGGTATTTACTGGGTGAGCTTACTATCATTTATTTACGAACTATACACCCAATGTTCAGTATATTAAGTGTCACTATGCTTAACGGGCTCAGATTAGAAAGTGACAAGAAGAAACAAAAAAACAGCCCCCGGCCAGGATCGAACTGGCAATCTCCTGCTTAGAAGGCAGGCGCCTTAACCATTAGGCCACGGGGGCATCTCGCTCTGTTGCTTTTTGACTGATTTAGTGGGGTACTTATACGACATGGTTTGGCGCTGGAATCTCCCGGTGATGGAACTCGGTACCAAAACCTCTGTCTCTGGAGAAATAGTTGAGAGGAAACAATTACATACTCTAGATAGAGGTACTCATTATCGTGAGGTTCAGAAAAGTTTCGGTGGTTATTTCAGGTGATCCGTTTGATGTGCTCGGTGAAGGAATGATAACAGGCGCCGCGCTTGACGCCACGGACACGGAGCTACGAGGATGGTTAAATACCAGGTCATCGCCCTATATAGATGGAGGACTAAGAAGGTCGTGTTACGCCTCATATATTGGCCTAAATGCAGTTTAGTCGGGCAGTCTCTAAGATGCTGCCTAAAAATAAACATCTTACAAGTCGGTAGTAAGCCAATTTCGTTTCTCGTCCGTTTGATTTCGCAAATTGATAACAAGATATTCGCACTTATAGCTCCAGAAGCAATCCCAGTCAGTAGTGAGTATTTCCACCAAAAAGCGGTACCTTATGTTCTGGCTACCTAAATAGATCCTTGTTTTCATGCTAGCGACTTGGTGTAATCGTCTAAGACGATCAAGATGGAGTAGTCACAACTTAGCACTAATATTAGCGAGGCTTCTTCACGCTGAACTGTTTTGCTGATACAATCTCAAGCAGTGCCCGAGACTCGGGTTTTCCCTGAGATATCCGCATAGGATGAAAACTGCCTCAGCAACGTAAACAAGACAATCCCATATTCAAGGCAACTGATGTCCGCCGTGGCGTACGAGGTGCATGTGATACATGCCCGGCTGGTTGATTAGGCAGGCCAAAGCCGCCACTTTCCAGTACGGTATAAAACAGCCGACGTGCGTGGCAAACTCCGGGGTAATGTGATAAGCTAGCTGGCCTGGAGTGATCTGGGATGTCCCATTCTCCTGCACGTATCGGGTTCGTTGCGATTGTTTTCAGAGAGGAAGGAATATTATCTCTACTACGATCTTGGAGCCCTAGCGTCGGTTGTGTTGGCTGGAACTGGGCGGTCTTCTCGATATCACTTAGGTACCAACACGAACACTTGCAAATTGGACTTTCAGCTTTGGGTACGATCAAGCAATGACGACCAGCTGAGCTCATGTAAATCAGATTCATGTAACACTGGTTATCATAAGAATATCCACTTGCCGCCGATTGATGTGGTAGAGGGCTGCTCTCCTTGAAATTTCCATTTCAGGCCTGGTGTACTTCATCGTCATGTGGTTCCCCAAGCCATTACCCAATCTAGTAAACATTTCTCAACCCATGCAGCTCCCCGGATGTCACCTAGTTTTACAAGCGGCGAGACTTCAAGGTATAAACTTTTGAATAGCACCGTTCCCTTCAGCGGTGATTTCTTAGATCAGTATAGCAACTAGCATTTGGATACCAAACCCATATAATCACCATCTCAAGTCTGTCTCCCACCTCGCCCTTTTTACACACGTCAATATGGCAGCCCACGTCATGATGCCCTCTGCCCCGCCAGCTCCCGTCGGGCCTAAGATCAAGGGGCCAACTCGCCCGATACACGACCTTCCCCAATACATCATTGATGAGGGAAAGGCCGACAAGGTTCCCTTTGATCCCAAGAAGCACTTGAACATTGTGCATCCCACAAAGATATTCACAATGGGAGAGATTGGCCTCGAGGGCCAGGGCATCTCTGACACTGCGTTCTCGGAACCCTTTTCCATCTTCACACCTGAGGCGGTCCAGCAGATGAGGGCTGAGATCTTCAGCCAGCCTGTCCTCGAAACCTGCCAGTATTCTTCCGACTTTGCCAAGAACATGATTCGAGGATTTGGCCCTCGGTAAGTCCGTCGTGCTCGTTGTATTAACTTACACACTTCTGATCAGTGTTAGACTGGCTCCTTTCACGTTTGCCGTCTGGCATAGCCCCGAGATTCTCAGTGCCATCTCCAGAGTTGCCGGCGTCGAGCTGGTCCCTGCCATTGACTTTGACGTCGGCCATCTCAACGTCTCCATCAACAACGACACAAACATCTCGCAAGCCAACGACGAGAGCAAAAAGAACGATTCTTCCGCTTTTGCATGGCATCACGACAGTTATCCCTTTGTCTGTGTCACTATGCTTTCGGACTGCACGGGCATGGTTGGGGGCGAGACGGCCATCCGGACTGGAAGCGGAGAGATCATGAAGGTTCGGGGCCCAGCAATGGTAAGTCGCCCATCTCCCTGTCTCTCTATAACCCACTAATGAACTACCAGGGTACTGCTATGATTATGCAGGGGAGGTACATTGAGCACCAGGCTCTCAAGGCCATGGGTGCCCGGGAGCGCATCTCCATGGTCACATCCTTCCGCCCTAAGGACCCTCTCATCAGGGACGAGATTGTGCTTACGGGCGTCCGTGCTATCAGCGACCTTTCGCAACTTTACTACCAGTATGCGCAATATCGCCTGGAGGTTCTCGAAGAGCGCGTGCGGGCCCAGTCAAAGAAGTTGCGCAAGCAAGAGGGCTCTGGTCAGATGTTCAATGTTGGCGAGTCGAGGAAGTTTCTCAATGAGCAGAAGCAGTTCTTGGAGGCCATGTTGATTGAGCTGGTGGAGTAGAATGGTTGGGTTGGCAGGATGGATAAGCCCGAGCAATGGGAATGGGATCATGTACTGTGTAAGCTAGGCATGTTGATAGGTTACCAAATTGATCAAATTGTTATATCATATGACAAGACGCCGAACTTATGGTTAAGGCAATTCAGATGCTACCTGAACCTTCCGAGTCACTCACTCTGGCTAAGCTTCTTCTTCTTATTTTGGCCGTGATTGATTCTAATCTATGAGCTAGATGTTTACCTTCTCCTCTAATCTCGAGTTAATATTGCTGCAAGGCAAGCATAATATGAGCCTGAGATAAACTACAACAGAAACATTACCCTATGAACTCGTAGTCAAGTTGCCATACACCAACCCATCATCCTCATCCTTCATATCCGCCCACGCACTCTCTAGAGCATGAACCTTCAGGCTGACCTCGACATCCCCCGGCAAGTCCGACGTGCTAAAGACCATTAGCGACAGCGGCTGCGTGGTGAAGAATGTGTTCGTCGCGCTGTCCACGCCCCCGTCGATGAAGACCTCCAGAATCGACCGATCAATCACACCGCTGAAGCTCCACGAGTCGCGATTCGTCAACAAGCTATTAGTCGAGAACTTGTCCGTGAAGAAGACGTTGTCGAAGCCCCGGGCGCCGCCGCGGTTGATGAAGAAGGGCGTGTCGCCGCCGAGGTAGTAGCCGCCGTTGATGTACTCGCCTGTCAGGGGGCTCAAGAAGGTAAAGTTCATGGTCGCCGTTGCTGAAATGCCGCTGTCCGGGATGCCCGTTACGTTGACCTCCCAGTAGAGCGCCTGCGATTCGACATCTGAGTAGTCTACCGTGAGGGTGCCGTTGCCGAAGCTGTCGTTGGAGGCGAGTTCACGGCCCATGATGGGGCTCAGGTCATAGGGTCTCGAGACTAGCTTCCAGCCGATACGCTCCGTCTTGGTCAGGTAGTTCTCACGGGGAAGACTCATGACGCTGCGCCAGCCCTCGCTGCCCGTGGGAACCACTTGTGTGTACTGCCAGTTGGACGCCCAGGCAATGGACACAGGGTACTCATCCTCGGAAAGGCCGTAGAACCATTGTCCGGCGTAGTTGTCTTTGCCAAAGTCGGCGATTCTAGCAGCCGCGTCGACAGCCTCAAAGTGCGTGCCGTTGAACGTGCCCGGGTGGTACTCGGTGATGGAGCCTCCGAGCGGCGCCCCGGGGTTGATGCTGATGGCCATGAGCCACATGTCATCCTGCTTCTCGCCATCCTCGTCCACGTACGGGATTCGGATCATGTTTGGGCACTCGTACTGCAGACCGAGAAGCCCGTGGTATGAGAAGTTGCTCGTGGCGGTCCAATCCTTCAGGTCCGGCGACGTGAAGATGCCAATCGCAAAGTCGTGGGGGTAGGCCACAACCATGACCCATTCGTCTTCGTGGCGAATGACTTTGGGGTCGCGGAACTGCGACGAGGTGCTGTCGATGACGGGGTTTTCCTTGTAAGGCGTGAATGTGTATCCTCCGTCTCGCGAGTAGGCGATGGCCTGAGTCTGTGGGCCAGGGTTTCCATCTGGGTATGCGGCCAGAGTCTACTCGTGTTAGTCAATTCAACGTCCATCCAAGATCAATTCAATTCACTGGTTTATGCGACTCACATAGATGGCAACAACGCCATTGTCCTGGTCCGGGAAGAAGCCCGACGTGTTGTTTACATCGACAATCGCACTCCCCGAGAAGATGAAGACATCGTCCTCGGGCGGGAACAGAGCAATGGGCTGGTTTGTCCAGTGGTACAGGTCCTCCGACGTCGCATGTCCCCAGTGCTGGTTGCCTGCGACAACGCCGCTGGGGTTGTACTGGTAGTACAGATGCCAGGTGCCGTTGCTATCACGAAACATGCCATTGGGGTCGTTCATGAAGTGCTGGGGAGGAGAGAAGTGGACCTGGGGACGGTAGGCGCCATCATAGTCGCCAACGATGGGTGTGCCGGTCGGGATGTCGACACTGCTGGATGTAGCTGAAGCGGTGGAGGAAATGGAGGAGCTCCGGGCATGAGACAGCCCATTCAGCTGGGCGAAGCCAACAACGACAGACAGGATGAGGTTCTTCATGATGGCAGAGTTGATGAGAAAGCACCTGTAACCTGGACTCTCACTGCCTTTCCCAACCGGCTCATAATGATCCTATATATATGTGTGCATTTATGTGCGTGCCTGTCCATTACCAAGGATACGGTTAGTTGAACCAACTAATTGATGAGTATCTTCCCCATTCCCCACAAACTTCGGCTCCCTCTAAGCCGATCCCAGAGCACTGCCTCCAAACCCCGGCATCATCGACTTCTTTTTTTCTCTCTCTCAGCTGACATTGTCGTTCCGACGAGACCGATTCCAAGAAAGCTGCCGTTTCGGTTAT